TGTGGTTGGATGAGGTCACTGAGGTAGGGGTGTGTGGTTGGATGAGGTCACTGAGGAAGGGGTGTGTGGCTGGATCAGGTAACTGAGGTAGGGGTGTGTGGTTGGATGAGGTCACTGAGGAAGGGGTGTGTGGCTGGATGAGGTCACTGAGGTAGGGGTGTTTGGTTGGATGAGGTCACTGAGGTAGGGGTGTGTGGTTGGATGAGGTCACTGAGGTAGGGGTGTGTGGTTGGATGAGGTCACTGAGGAAGGGGTGTGTGGCTGGATGAGGTAACTGAGGTAGGGGTGTGTGGTTGGATGAGGTCACTGAGGAAGGGGTGTGTGGCTGGATGAGGTCACTGAGGTAGGGGTGTGTGGTTGGATGAGGTCACTGAGGTAGGGGTGTGTGGTTGGATGAGGTCACTGAGGTAGGGGTATGTGGTTGGATGAGGTCACTGAGGAAGGGGTGTGTGGCTGGATGAGGTAACTGAGGTAGGGGTGTGTGGTTGGATGAGGTCACTGAGGAAGGGGTGTGTGGCTGGATGAGGTCACTGAGGTAGGGGTGTGTGGTTGGATGAGGTCACTGAGGTAGGGGTGTGTGGTTGGATGAGGTCACTGAGGAAGGGGTGTGTGGCTGGATGAGGTAACTGAGGTAGGGGTGTGTGGTTGGATGAGGTCACTGAGGTAGGGGTGTGTGGTTGGATGAGTTCACTGAGGTAGGGGTGTGTGGTTGGATGAGGTCACTGAGGTAGGGGTGTGTGGTTGGATGAGGTCACTGAGGTAGGGGTGTGTGGTTGGATGAGGTCACTGAGGTAGGGGTGTGTGGTTGGATGAGGTCACTGAGGTAGGGGTGTGTGGTTGGATGAGGTCACTGATGTATGGGTGTGTGGTTGGATGAGGTCACTGAGGTAGGGGTGTGTGGTTGGATGAGGTCACTGAGGTAGGGGTGTGTGGTTGGATGAGGTCACTGAGGTAGGGGTGTGTGGTTGGATGAGGTCACTGAGGTAGGGGTGTGTGGTTGGATGAGGTCACTGAGGTAGGGGTGTGTGGTTGGATGAGGTCACTGAGGTAGGGGTGTTGTGGTTGGATGAGGTCACTGAGGTAGGGGTGTGTGGTTGGATGAGGTCACTGAGGTAGGGGTGTGTGGTTGGATGAGGTCACTGGGGTAGGGGTGTGTGGTTGGATGAGGTCACTGAGGTAGGGGTGTGTGGTTGGATGAGGTCACTGAGGTAGGGGTGTGTGGTTGGATGAGGTCACTGAGGTAGGGGTGTGTGGTTGGATGAGGTCACTGATGTATGGGTGTGTGGTTGGATGAGGTCACTGAGGTAGGGGCGTGTGGTTGGATGAGGTCACTGAGGTAGTGGTGTGTGGTTGGATGAGGTCACTGAGGTAGGGGTGTGTGGTTGGATGAGGTCACTGAGGTAGGGGTGTGTGGTTGGATGAGGTGGTATAGCTGCTATAACATTTTTAAAAAAAAAATCAGAAAGGACATAAAAACTACCATAATCTCCATCCCCGATGTTTCTTCATTTGAACACCTGGTCTTCAGACTCTCTGGTCTCACTCCCCTGGTCACAGCCATCATCTACCATCCCCCGAAGCCAAACCCCTCCTTTCACTCCGACCTCCCGTGTGTGTGTGTGTGTGTGTGTGTGTGTGTGTGTGTGTGTGTGTGTGTGTGTGTGTGTGTGTGTGTGTGCGTGCGTGCGTGCGTGCGTGCGTGCGTGCGTGCGTGCGTGCGTGCGTGCGTGCGTGCGTGCGTGCGTGCGTGTGCGTGCGTGCGTGCGTGCGTGCGTGCGTGTGGGGGTCTCTGTGTTCTGTAATTAATAAAAAAAACATAGACAAGAACCATTGAATCAAAAGATACTGTGCATGCTGTGTTTATTGTCATGACACAAAACACAGACTGGATGTGATATTGTCCAAAAGTATGTTGGGGAAAGTTATTCATCAAACATCAAAACATTTTTAAAAGGGACCTATTCTGGGATTTCCCTTTCCTGCAGTGTGTTATAAAGGTTTCTGTGCATGTAAATGGTCTGCAGAGGCTTAAGTCCCAAAGTATTAATATAATTGTTGTGTGTTTCAGGAGCACACTAAAGGAGACTACCAGAAGGTTCTGCTGAGTCTGTGCGGAGGAGACGACTGAGCTCTGAGTGGACTCCATTTCCCAGAAGGCCGCTGGGTCTTAAAACATCAGCTGACTGTAGATTTTGTTTTAACTCTGCCCATAAGAGCTTTTTTGTTTTTACTTCTCTGTTAAACAGATCACCTCCATCTCTCTGAGCAGCTTCAGTTTTTAAATAAAATCCTTTCACCAGATTGTGTTTTTCATTTTTTGACGACCACCATACAGCAGGTCAGCAGAGACACAGAGAAAAATAAAAATACAAGTTTTTACCAAACATTTACATTTCGATTTTTGACACTACTTTATACATCTGCGATATTCCACTATATTCGATTTGGTTAAAAATATAAATAATGCAGAATGGAGGGGAGCGCAAAGTCTAAGAGGCTCATCAAACTTCTCCTCCGTTTTATATCGGCACTTTGACCAAATATCATAACATAGTTGTCAGTATGGGAATTACGGCTATTTGAAGGGAGCCGGATCTCATGGCTCCGTTCCTTTCCGAGAGCCGTTCAAAAGGGACCTTTTTTTTTTAAGGGGGCGGGGTTACTAGGTTTATCTGCGAAATAATCACCAGGATAATGATTGACTGTATTGCCAGAAATCTACTTTTACTTACAGAAAATGTATAACTTGCTACATCTCTCAGCCAAACTACTACTCAAGCAGAATGCGTTATGCCATCATCTACGGCTAAGTGCATTCAGGAAAGCAAGTTCCCGTAAAGGCCAATGGATTTATGGCAGGCAGTGAACCAACGATAAAAAGAAAGGCTCTCACCAAGTACGATTCGGTTCCCTTCGTTCGTACCAAAGAGCCGTTCAAAAGAATCGGATCGTTCGTGAACGTAACATCACTAATTGTCAGAAATGTGACACAATGACTGGGATTCAAGTACTATGCATTTGAGGGGAATATAGTATCTAGTGATAGTGCTATGTGTAGGCCTGGGACCAGCACCAATGAGCCATTCTGTGCAGTTAAGGCTTGTTTAGGTTGAGCTTCATGTGGTGTGCAGTCAGCCACTGAGAGATGACAGGAGAACACACACAGGTCTACAAGCAAATGCATCATTCTGAGAGATGATGTTCAGAGACACTTTTCATTGTGGGCCTTCTCAATGTACTGCTATCTAGTCAAGCTGGTTGGCAAAGACTGGAAAATATCTTTATATATCCATTTACCATGCAGTTCATTTACTCTAACTGCCCTGCATCTCAGTGAGCAATCAAGCACTTCTTACAGTTCCTAAGTTAGGTAAGACCTTTGTAACAATTTACAATTATATACACTTTTGAAAATAATTTGGATGCCAAAACATTTCTTGAGTCATGAGATCATTGACAGATTTGTTTGTCTTCAAACCTCTATTGAATTTAATAACGATTGTTACATAGATTATTAGGAGCTATTATATGCTGCTCTAAATAAAGCTTTATTAAACTGCATATATGTCACAGCAGTTTGTACACAAAGAGTTCAGCCCAGAGGAGATCATTTCACCATTTTACAAAGAAAATAAAGATTTATTCCAGTAAAAGAAAGTGTATCTATACAGCACATATCAACAAGGCAATTCAAAGTGCTTTACAAAAACATTAAAATACTTACGACAAAGTGCAAACGAAACGTTTAAAAAACACATTTGAATACATTGAAAAAACATTTATTAAAAGGCAAGGCAAGGCAAGGCAAGGCAAGGCAAGGCAAGTTTATTTATATTGCACCTTTCAACACAAGGCAATTCAAAGTGCTTTACAAAAATGGAAGACATTAAGAAAATGGCATTTAAAATCAGTCATTAAAAAGAAAAGATAATAAAATAAACATTAAAAGAAAAAATACATGGATAAAAGTTACAGTGCAGTTTAAGATGTGAATAGTTCAATTAAAAGCAGCGGCAAAAAGAAAAGTCTTCAGCCTGGATTTAAAAGTAGTAAGAGTTGCAGCGGACCTACAGGTTTCTGGGAGTTTGTTCCAGATATTTGGAGCATAATAACTGAATGCTGCTTTACCATGTTTAGTTCTGACTCTGGGGACAGAAAGCTGACCAGTCCCTGAAGACCTGAGAGTTCTGGATGGTTCATAATTTAGCAGGAGGTCAGACATGTATTTTGGGCCTAAACCATTCAAAGCTTTATAAACCAGCAACAATATTTTGAAATCTATTCTTTGACACACAGGAAGCCAGTGTAAGGACTTCAGAACAGGAGTGATGTGATCCACTTTCTTAGTGTTAGTGAGGACTCGAGCAGCGGCGTTCTGAATTAGCTGCAGCTTTCTAATAGATTTTTTAGTGAGACCTGTAAAGACACCATTGCAGTAGTCCAGTCTACTGAAGATAAAAGCATGGACAAGTTTTTCCAAATCCTGCTGTGACATTAGTCTTTTAATCCTAGATATGTTCTTTAGGTGATAGTAGGCTGATTTAGTAACTGTTTTAATGTGACTGTTGAAACTCAGGTCAGAGTCCATGATTACACCTAGATTTCTGGCTTTATCTGTTGTTTTGAACATTGCAGACTGAAGCTCAGCGCTAACTTTTATACGTTCTGCCTTGGCTCCAAAAACCATTACCTCAGTTTTATCTTTGTTTAATTGGAGAAAGTTCTGACACATCCAGTCATTGATTTGTTCAATGCACTTACTCAGTGTTTGAATTGGAGCATAATCTCCTGGTGAAATTGTTACGTACATTTGTGTGTCATCCGCATAGCTATGGTAACTTATTTAGTTGTTTTTCATTATCTGAGCCAGTGGTAGCATGTAGATGTTAAAGAGAGGAGGCCCCAAGATGGAGCCTTGAGGTACCCCACATGTCATATTTGTCAACTCAGATGTGTATTTACCTATAGAAACAACGTTTTTTCTGTCCTTTAAGTACAGACAAAAAGTGTGAGACACTTGATTACTGGGAGTTTTTTCAGATGTACGGAGCATTATAACTACATGCTGCTCCTCCACGTAAAGGCACAATCATAGATCCAAATGTTAACCAAAGTGTAGCCGGATCACTACCAACATTTTAAACACACGACTGGAAGATATCTCTTGCTACACTCATGTTATGTCCATGTCCCCCGAGACCAGGGACATTACAGCAGGACTGGAAGTGGTCTCCTCCTACAGAGAACTCAGAGACACTGAGGAGTCATCTGACCAGAACCCAAACCCAGCATACAGAGGTTCAGTGAATGTGGTTCTGAAGGTGTGGAGGTGGGTCAGTGTGTCAGAGGAGACCCTGTAGAAGGAGAGAGAGCCAGCAGGATGATCCAGATACACTGCTACTCTACCAGAGGAGGAGGAGGAGGAGGAGGAGGAGGAGGAGGAGGGGGAGGAGGGGGAGGAGGGGGAGGAGGAGGAGGAGGAGAGAGGCAGGACTGTTTTACTTTTATTGTGTCTGACAGAGTAACCCTCTCCATTAGAGCACTTTAGAGACCAGGACTGATCATTCCATCCAAAGAGACAGTCATCACTGTCTCCTCTGCTGCTGATTCCTCTGTAAGTCACTGATATATAGACCTCTCCTCTCCACTCGACCTCCCAGTAACACCGACCAGTCAGAGCTTCTCTACACATCAGCTGAGGCCAGATGTTAAACCTCTCTGGATGATCAGGATATGGCTGCTCCTCTCTCACACGTGTCACCTCCCTGTTGCTGTCAGACAGTTTGAGGTTTCTGTTTGCTGTGTTTGTGTCCAGTGTGAGTTCACAGGAATCTGATGAGAGAAAGACACAGCATCTGTTTATCATAAAACACATATGAAGGCTTTTTTCTTTGTTTTTGAACAGGTGCTGTTTATTATAATGTATTTGTATAAATGTGATAATCTTGTCAGTAATGTGATAATGAATACATATCTCAACTGACTGTTTTGTCATCATAATCAACCTAAATCCATACTTACATTTCTTCACATCAGGTTTTAACCACTGCTCTCCACAATGGTCAGCCCTGGAGGAAGAAACAGTCTGAATGATCAAGGACATTTCATACATGTTACGACCCTGGGTCGTTATGTCATGTGTGTGCGGATATTTTTCCCTCCTCCTGTGAGAGACTGGGTGTTTCTCAATGTCGAGTAAAGCTGCTTCAGAGCCACTATTTCAAGCATACTACGTCATCGAGTGCCGCCGAAGTACTGTTCCAATCTCCAGCATACTTGGAAATCTACCGAGCCCGGCGTACGCCCGGAGAAATATCGAGGCTGCACATGTGTAGACTCCGCGGTCTTAAAATCCCCACAATGCTTTGCGCACGGACCAATTTCCCCAAATCTGTGGCGGAAGATGTAAGGCGGGGCCTCTCATATGACACACACCTGCACACTTGCTAGCCTGTTCCACTCTTTGTTTTCCGAATGCCAGGAAGTATTCTTGACTCGCTTCTGAAGCAAGTGACAGACCCACTGTTATGCCCTGTGGGTTCATCTTGGGAGGGTGTGGCTGTGCTGCATCCAGCCTCCTTGATTGCCTTGATTGCAGTAACTGCAGGGCACCTGGGTCTGGTGCCCTGCACCAGACCCAGCCTCTGCTCCTCTCTGTCTTCCCTCTGCTTCTCCCTGCAGGCACCCCGGTTTTGTTGAGTATGCTGAGTTTCTTCAGTTGCTTCACTTTGTGCACTTCAACACTCTCACACTCATACATGTCCACATGTCCTCACCCTGCATTTACACTACTGATACCACTGACATCCACACCTCATACTTTACTTGTTTTGCACTTTATTAATTTGGTTCATTTGAATGGTTTGCTTAAATAAACATCTTTTGTTAAATGTGGATATGGTGTGTCTCCTCTTTGTTGTGGCCTTTTGAGCCAGGTCATAACAAAATACATGTGCTACCAAGCAAGCGTACTCGACATTGAGAAACACCCTCTGTGTGGCTGTGTGTGTGTGAGTGAGCAGGTGGTGCCCGTTTGCTGATTGGCTGCCTTCGACAGGCTGATTGGTCCACCTGAGGAAACAGGAGCATTTAAGCTGCAGCCATGCAGTTCCTCTGCCTCTCTCCCATCAACCTCTCCTACTCCCAACTCCCAACTCCGCGATTGTTGTTGAAAATCTGATCTGTTGTGCTGTGTGTTTAAATCTACCGATTACCGGTCCTTTTGTACATTTTTGTATCTTGGAAAGCTAAACTAATTTAACCTGTCTTGAAAGACACGCTTTAATTTGCCCAGGAGTGCGAAACCCTTTTCTTTTGTTTAAATCCCGTTAAACGGGATTTAAACAAACATTTATATATTAATATTAATATATTAATATATTAATATCATTAATATCTAATTATATGTGTTAAATATGTTTAAACAAACATTAATATCTAATAATAAAATTATAAAATGCAATAACGTGCTTTAACCAGTCGGTGTCCCTTTCTATCAGCTGTGCACCGTTATGGCGTAAATACAGCCTATCTACCAATTGGATCAAATATAAAAGTCAGCCGAATTAGTGTTGATACTGCAAGGAGACGTATTGTGTGAAAAGAAATGTAAGATGTTGTTTAATTGCTTATATATTTAAGATCCACGTCAAGTTTTCAGTTTTGGCGGCAGTTCCTGTTTGTCTAGAAGTCTTGTCATCAGGGCTCTATACATAGAGTTAACTACGGCAGATATGTCATATTTAATGCAGCCGAACCGTGTATTACAATGCCGTTATGTGATGACTTTCAAAGAGAAAAGCAAGCACACTCGGAATAATGTATTATTTATAGGGCTGTCAGTCGATAATCTGAAATAACAACTCATATTTCTCGCATCAAATTACATCAAAACGCATTTTAATGGCCAAACTAACCTTAAAATAGGCATTTTCTACCGAGAATAAAACGAAGGTCGGCCATGTGTTTTTATTTCTGCGGAGAGAAAGTTGAAGATCACGTGACATAGATGCCAGCCATTGGAAATGAATGGTGAAAAAAATTGTAGGGAATAACAATTTCAGAGGCGTTTTTTGTAGAAATACTACGTCCCAAGTTGTGGACCAACGTAGTTATTACATGTTTAGATGTGAGACTGGGTTGGTACTTGCAGTCCAACGCACGCCTACTGCATGCACAGCGTTAGAAAATCGGGCTTTCAAAATAAAAGTTTGACCTTTTCCCCAAAAAACAAACAAAAAACTATTTTTTTTTTCACTCACACATTCGCGACCCACTCGAAACGGGTCCGCGACCCACTTTTGGGTCGCGACCCACCAGTTGAGAACCACTGAGTTAAAGGACTGTCAACATTTCAAATGTCATATTAAGGCATCATTTTGAAGTTATCAGAGAATACAATAAGCTAAACAGTGTTTCTCTTAGCAGAAAAGGATGTTTAATGTTATTATTAAAAAGTCTAAATTAAGTGAAGTTGGGTCAAAAGGGCCATTGGCCTCCATTGTTACGTTCTTATTGAGGGTTCTAGCTAATTTGAATCTGAATTATTGTATCTTATAGGTTGAGGAACAGGTGTTCTCAAGTGTGTTACACATTTTATCACATTTTATCAAACGTTGTTTTTCCCTAAACTACACAGGTTTAAACCTTCTGGTGGTGCTAGAATTAAAGTCAAAAGATATCTATGGATGAATCTAATAATCATTCATGTCTGAGCTTAAATTTATCAAAATATTTAGGAATTGATAGAGAGTGAGGTCTGTCCATACCTGAGAGTCTCCAGTCTCCAGTGTGGATCCTCCTGTAGAGCAGACAGCAGCTTCACTCCTGAGACTCCTGGATGATTGTAGCTCAGGTCCAGCTCAGCCTCAGCCTCAGCCTCAGCCGCAAAGCCTTTGTATGTGACCAGACAACCTGAGAGTCTACACACACACACACACACACACACACACACACACACACACACACACACACACACACACACACACACACACACACACACACACACACACACACACACACACACACACACACACACACACACACACACACACACACACACTCATAATGTTGACTCTACTCATGGTCACCTTTGCTGATGGCCTAAATTGGAGTTACCAATTCAGTCCAACACACCCTATTTCAATATGCTTGTCAGAGTGATATGGGATAAATCATGTGAAATAAAAACCAAGACATTAGGTCCCATGGGGGCTGCATAATTTAAACAAATAGTTAAGAACATCATTAATAATTACTGTGTAATAAAGGAATAATCTTCTCATGTAACCTGAAAGTCTTGAGTAGTGGAAACACAAAAACCCTTGAATATTGGTGCCACTTCTGGGGCAACTCAGTATCATTTAAGTCATCTTGGTCCAAAGAGGCTCTTCAATAAGTAATTATAATAACTAAATATATTAAGGAAATCTTACGGAGTAAACTTAAAAAAAAACCTGCAGAATACTGACCTGAGAGTTTCCAGCTCACAGTGTGGACTCTCAAGTCCAGCAGACAGTTTCTTCACTCCTGAATCCTGCAGGTCGTTGTTACTCAGGTCCAGCTCTCTCAGACTAGAGGACTGGGAGCTGAGGACTGAGGACAGAGCTTCACAGCTTCTCTCTGACAGCTTACAGCTGCTCAGCCTGGAGGAGGATTTTCATCAGACCAAAAAACAAGTAATACATGAAAAAGAGAGCTCAGAGGACCCTTACTTTAAACTATTTTACACTTACCTGATAGTTTCCAGAGAACAGGGCAGACTCTCTAGTCCAGCACACAGGTTCTTCACTCCTGAATCCTGCAGGTCGTTGTTACTCAGGTCCAGCTCTCTCAGACTAGAGGGCTTGGAGCTGAGGACTGAGGACAAAGCTTCACAGCTTTTCTCTGACAGGTTACAGCTACTCAGCCTGAAGGATTATTTTTAATAAATAAAAAAAATATATATATTATTTCTCCTCTATGACATATAAACAAGTTGGATAATGTTCGTATTCCTTTTATTCATCCACTCACACAGCTTTCCTGGAGGCTTTGACCACTGGCAGCAGCCTCAGAAGAGCCTCCTCTGAAGCAGAGTATTTCTTCAGGTCAAACACGTCCAGATCTTCTCCTGATGACAGTAAGATGAAGACCAGAGCTGACCACTGAGCAGGAGAGAGACTATCTGTGGAGAGACTTCCTGATCTCAGGGACTGTTGGATCTGCTCCACTAGAGAACGATCATTCAGTTCATTCAGACAGTGGAACAGGTTGATGCTTCTCTCTGGAGACAGATTCTGACTGATCATGTCATTGATGTACTGGACTGTTTTGTGATTGGTCTCTGAGCCACTTCCTGTCTGTGTCAGCAGGCCTTGGAGGTGTTTCTGATTGGTCTGCATTGAAAGACCCAGGAGGAAGCGGAGGAACAAGTCCAGGTGTCCGTTTGGACTCTGTAAGGCCTTGTTCACAGCACTCTGGTAGAAAAGTGTTGATTTGGCCTTGAAACCTTTAGGCTGACGAGACATTAATGGTTCTTCTGACATTAGGTTGACTCCAGAGTTGATGAAGGTCAGATGGACATGAAGAGCAGCCAGAAACTCCTGAACGCTCAGATGGACGAAGCAGAACACCTTGTCCTGGTACAGTCCTCTCTCCTCTCTAAAGACCTGTGTGAACACTCCTGAGTACACTGAGGCTGCTCTGATATCGATGCCACACTCTGTCAGGTCGGACTCATAGAAGATCAGGTTGCCTTTCTGCAGATGCTCAAAAGCCAGTTTTCCCAGAGCCTCCATCATCTTCCTGCTCTCTGGACTCCAGTGTGGATCTGTCTCAGCTCCTTCATCATACTTGACGTTCTTCACTTTGGCCTCAACCACCAGGAAGTGGATGTACATCTCAGTCAGGGTCTTGGGCAGCTCTCCTCCCTCTCTGGTTTTCAACACCTCCTCCAGAACTGTAGCAGAGATCCAGCAGAAGACTGGGATGTGGCACATGATGTGGAGGCTTCGTGAGGTCTTGATGTGGGAGATGATGGTGCCGGCCTGCTCCTGATCTCTGAATCTCCTCCTGAAGTACTCCTCCTTCTGTGGGTCAGTGAACCCTCGGACCTCTGTCACCATGTCCACACACTCAGGAGGGATCTGATTGGCTGCTGCAGGTCGTGTGGTTATCCAGAGGCGAGCAGAGGGAAGCAGCTTCCCCCTGATGAGGTTTGTCAGCAGCACATCCACTGAGGTGGACTCTGTGACGTCAGTCAGGATCTCAGTGTTTAGGAAGTCCAGAGGAAGTCGACACTCATCCAGACCGTCAAAGATGAACACGACCGGGAACTGATCAAACCTGCAGATTCCTGCGTCTCTGGTTTCAGAGAAGAAGTGATGAACAAGTTCCACCAAGCTGTACTTGTTCTCTCTCACCACATTCAGCTCTCTGAAGGTGAATGGAAATGTGAACTGGATGTCCTGGTTGGCTTTGCCTTCAGCCCAGTCCAGAGTGAACTTCTGTGTTAAGACTGTTTTCCCAATGCCAGCCACGCCCTTTGTCATCACTGCTCTGATTGGTGCATCTCTTCCAGGTGAGGCTTTAAAGAGGTCTTCTTGTCTGATGGTTGTTTCTGGTCTGTGTGGTTTCCTGGAGGCTGTTTCAATCTGTCTGACCTCATGTTCCTCATTGACCTCTGCAGCCCCCCCCTCTGTGATGTAGAGCTCTGTGTAGATCTGGTTCAGAAGGGTTGGGTTTCCTGCTTTAGCAATGCCCTCAAACACACACTGGAACCTCTCCTTCAGGGTGGATTTGAGTTTACGTTTGCAGACTGCAGCAGCAGTTCCTGAATGTACCAGCACAAAACTAATTAAAATGTGTATGCAACAGTAAGTAAACCTCCTAAACACATCAATGAGAACATCATTTGAATGTTTCCAGCCAATTCAGGTATCTGATACAAATATATTCATCAGCATAAGCTAAGCTATACTGATATTGTTTTAGAAAGTACTCTGTACCTACAGAGCCTTTTAAAGAAAATATAAAACGACTTATACTGTAAGTATTTTTGCTCTGACACCCATAATACTCCCTGATAAATGATACTCAGCTACTTTAGCGAGGTAAGACACCCCTACTTTATCATTGATTGGTCAGTGCTTGTGGCCTCCAGTGGTTTAGTTTGTTTGGTTTAAAGGTCCCTCGTCATGCTTTTCCGGTTATTACCCGTCCCCTTGTGTGTTATGAAGCTTGTTCTGCATGTGAACGGTCTGCAGAGTCACAAACCCTCAAAGTACACCCTGTAGCGAGTAAAACTCTAACACAGAAAATACCTGTCTATGCTGCCCCAGAACGCCTCGTTGGAGATTTCTCTTTTTCCATTATGTTCTTCCTGGGTACAGTGACGTGCCCATACCCAAATGGACCCATTAGGCGCGTTCACACCGGAGTACTTTTCACCCGTACTTTTCCCGTTTAATTCCGTTAGTACCCCTTATGTCGCGTTCACACCAAAAAGAGTACTTAGTGCCGGGAACTTTTACCCCCATTTTTAGTGCCTGCTAGAGAGGTGGTAGCAAAAAAGTACCAAAAAAGTACCAATTTCTATTGGCTGGGCGAATTGCAAACCACGCCCCGTAAAACTCTGAAAAGTTTTGTGAAGCCGCCATTGTATTTGTGGCATTAGCATTATTAGCATTAGCATTAGCCCCGCGCACCAATGGAGAGAGAATAACTTATGGCAATACAAAAAAAAACATGGGAGCGGTGGAGATGAGGAGGTGTCGGCGTTCTGGCGATTTACTCGGAAGGCTTCAGTAGAAGCTGCTGGGAGTCCCAGCAGCTTCTACTGAAGCCAGTCCCCAACTCCGGGGACTTCCGGTCGGGGGACTTCGGGTGGCAGTATACGCCGTGAAGTGGTTTGCGGCCTGCCAGTAAACCCAAAGCAGAAGAAGAAGTGACGTCAGCGGCTCATTTGCGTAATCTTCCCTCAGGGAACTTATTCCGGTGTGAACGCGATCTGTACTAAGTGCCCTGGGGTAATAAGTGCCGGGGCACTAAGTGCCGGCACTAAGTACGGCAAAGTACTTGGTGTGAAAGCGGCTCTAGGTCCAAATGGACCAATCCGTGGAGCCGTTACGTCCGCGGAGCCGTTATGTTAAGTCCGTGGATTGGTCCAAATGGACCAATCCGCGGACTTCCTCACACACACACACTCAATCTTTTCTCAGCTGCAGCTCTGCCGATTTCTCCTTTCTCCTATAGACTATTAGGCTATATAGGCTCTGCTGGATCGATTGATATTGTGACCTCGGTGATGAGTGTCTGTGTTTTCCTTACCCCCCCCCTCCCCTCTCTCTATCGGGACCATGGATAGCCTACAGCTATTTGTTTACGTGTTTAAAAAAGCACCAGAAGCTTATATACACATCAAAGTTGTTCGTGCCCCACCACTTTTGTACATATAAAAACGCCACTGCATGCATTCTTTTATTATTTCTGCATCAGATAATGGCTTCTTGTGTTTAGCCAACACCCATGCCACTCTGAGTGAGGACTCAGTTGCCTTTTCTCGTTGTGACATAGATGTAACAAGGATCCTGCTTGCAGCTTGATATGATGAGTTCATCCCATTTATTTTTGTGGTTCTTACCGCTGAATTTTGAGGAAAGGTCGCTTCAAAATAGTTGTGTTTTGTTTCATAGTGCCGTTTCAAATTGTCACTCTTCACAAGAGCTACTGTTTCTTGGCATATTAGGCACATTGGTTTGGTGCTCGCTGGAGGGAGGATGAACGCATATTTTTCAGTCCATTCATCTTTGAATTTCCGATTTTCACTGTCGACTTTTCTTTTACTGGTCATCTTTGAATATGTTTCTAATAGCTGCCTGCTGGTGAAACTAGGCTATTAGCTACAGTACAGATGCAACTAGATGCGCTGTCAACTCTCGCTCTGACTTTTTAAAAAAAAAAACTCTCGCTCTGACTCAGACAGGTTGAAAGAGACGACACACGCATTTTTCCCACCCGCATTCCGCGAAGACCCGCCCTACTGTGCCTCTGATTCGCAGACTGTTGGTGGGGGGAAAAAACGCTGACGGGATGCTGAATGTGATTGGACCAAAGCGTTGACAGACACACACAGACAGTGGAACAGTCGAACATGCAGAGCGCTGTTTGCAGTGGACATAGTGGAACATTTTGACTCATTGCGTTGTGCGTAATGATGCAGCCCTCAAGACATTTAAGAGTATTATTTGGTGTCATCATATGCCGTTGCCATGGCGACAAATCCCTCACCATCAAACATGACGTTTATGTTATTGCTGTAACAGACATTGTCCGATATGCCCGAAAGTTTGTCAACGGCCGAGTCCGGGAAACAGGGCCGGCCCTAGACTTTTGGGGGCCCTAAGCGAGCTTTGGCTTGGGGGCCCCCCTCACTCTAGTGCTCCTGTCTTATGATGTTAGCATAAGCACACATATTGTATAAATAAGCATGTAAACACCGTGGACCTAACCTCCTCTAGGGGGGTCCGGGGGCATGCTCCCCCGGGAAGATTTTTTTTTAAATATTGAAGTTAAAAGCATCAATCTGGTGCACTTTGAGAGCAACATTAAGAGATCTATGGATACATCTCTCAACACCCATATGAAACAGAACTCTAAACAGATTTTTCTTTATGGATATTTTACAAATCACTCCCCTTTTAAACTGTATTCTTGTTTTGTCATATAGTATTTCATAACTGTTTTTCATTTATTCTCTCTGGCTGTCCATCTCATAATGTTCACATAAAAACTAGCTGTCAATAGGAATATCATTCAGAAGAATTATAATTTCATGCAAAAATCTGTCACAAAAAGAGGTTGCACATTTACATTCAGGTGTTGTTATGGCAACGTCAGTGGCCAAACAGCCACATTTACTGCTGCAAATACGTTCAATCATGCTGTCGACACGTAAAGCAGTGGCAACTATGCCACCATTTCAGCTGACTTTTTCTCAGAAATACTGTCACATAACATCCATATATTTCAGTGCTAGGTTGATGCTTAGCTATGCTAACTATGAAACACTTTAACTGACAGGACTCAGGATCAACTGTGTACTGTAAGGTAGCTTCTAGCTTCATGTCGAACAGTAAGTCAACATTTCCCAGAGAGCTTTCTTTGAAATCACCAGGTAACGCTAAAAAACATTACATTTAGATTGTATGACAAAGTGTTTATTTAATATATCTGGCTAGCTATAGCTACTTGCTAACGGTTTAGCTTACCCCCGCGATTCAAAGTAACGTCAACGTAGCTGTAATTTCTCCTGGCTCAAGTGCTGGCTCTGGGGTTATTGTGTGAACCACCACTTGAGAATTGTCATCTCTTTTAAGAACAAATGTTCTTATGTCCATCTTCAAAAACTCTGAGTCTGAGACTGAGAGTTTATTTTAAACATTGTCACAGCTCACAGGATAGGTACCTGTCAGCCAATAAGACAGATGTTTATTTCCATTCAATTCTCTGGTTGGTCTGGTGTCTTGCCTCTGTTGCATTCACTGAACACGGGAAATTACAATCCTGCCGTCCTCTAGTGTCATGATGAGGTTCAGGTAAAGCACGGTTAATGTATTATATGATTGACTCAATAATATAATACATGACTTTGAGAGTAGGCAATCTAGGCATATTAACAAAATTAGTTAAACATACTTATCACGGCGACTGTGATTTTTTATATTATTATTTTTTCAATTTTTGCTAGGGGGCCCTTAGTGGCTGCGGGGCCCTAAGCGGCCGCTTATGTCGCTTAATGGGTCGGGCCGGCTCTGCCGGGAAACATCTGCGTGACGTCGACGTGCGGACAACAGCGAACCTGCGTGGATCGCCGAAGACCTGCTCATCGCTGCTCATCGCTGCTCATCGCTACTCATCGCTGCTCATCGCTGCTCATCGCCAGGGGCGCCGTAAGGGGGTGAAAAGTTAGGACGATTCTAAGGGCCTGTGACTGACAGGGGCCCAAACTATTTTAGAACATTAAGAAAAAAATGTTTAAGTAACCTTTCATCATTCATCAATAATTAACATTAATAGAACGTTATATTGATAATGCACTCACTCAACGTATGATTCATTTAACTTATTTTCTTCCAAAAGTTAATTATCCAAAGCCTCTGTACACCCCCCTCTATTTACATGTAATGATTTGGTCCTGCCTCCAACCGCGGTGAGGCACCGGCACTTTCTAGCAGAGAGTGAGAGCATGTGAGGAGGGATGCTAGTACTTATGTGTGTACCATGTCTCAACGACTAACAAAGTCAGGCTTTCAAAAGAGAAAAGAAAGGAGAGAAAGAAAAGAGAGAGGGACTAAAGGGCGACAGCATGTCACCCAGTTTTTCAAAATAAAAGGTGGGTGTTTTTTCCATGAGTGGTGGAAATTAGTCTGTTAGCTAAGTGTAGTCCATTGTAAATAATAATTTACTAAGCTGACATTAAGTACTGTTAATATCTTCACAGAAAATTCAGAGGTTTTTCATTTCACTGCTCTTTTAGCTGACATTTAATAAATGAAAGTAGATTTTTAGCAGCTATTCATACTAAATCAGTTGTCCCTCCCCCTGGTGCCAGGACCAACAAATCCATCTTAAGGCTCAGCAGCCCTGTCCCCCCATAATGCTGAACCTGAACCAGCTTTTCTCCCAACTGAAGGAGGTGAGCAGCATTGTGTTGAATGCCATGCCACTTAACATATCTGAAGGGAGACTGGAATACAACAAATATATATATATATATCAAAACAAAAAGCTAACATCTCATTTCAATTACACATTTCAAACACAGTATTTTTCCACATATTTAAGTTATATTTATTTGGATTTATGCATTCATGTTGAGAATGTTCCATTCAAAAATGTTATTATTAAAAAGGCATTTACACCATAAAAGATGACTATTGAGATCTATTGCCAGGAATGTTAGTTTTATATCAAATAGTGAATTCTACTGCAGCAGAATGTTGCACGTCTGCACAGTGTTATATTTTCACAGCTGAGTGTCAGTAAATATTTTGCGGTTAGTATTGGACTACAAGATAGATGCAAGCCTGTACAGGTAGAGTTATTTAAAGCATAGATGAGTAGGTTGGGTTCTGGAGGTGTGGTTACAGCAATTGTGCTTGGTTGGCGTGGCCTGGGCCTGGTGGTGGGGCCCAATGTGATATCTTTTCATGGGGCCCAAAATCCCTGGTGGCGCCCCTACTCATCGCTGCTTGCAGCTTTAAATATTATTATCTTTCGTCTTTTAACACATAGTTGACGCCCGCAACATATATGAAAACTCACCAAATTCCGCACGCATGTCAGAAATGGTGGAAATAGACGTGTGAAATTGGTTCCGCAACTTTGCGTAAAAAATGCGCAGGCCACGCCCACTTCAGTTTTTAACATAAACTCCTACTAATTTCACTTTCACGTAAATGGACAACATTTGCTGTGTATATCTGAAGTGAGGAGCCAAAAAAACGTCTTGATACCTAGGGGATGAAAAGTTATGAAAATCTAAACTTTTTACCGCAAGGCGTAGCTATGATAAGGCGCCCAATTTCACGTTCGCTCGATGCTAGGCGATCCCTCGCCATCAAACACGAGGATGACATAACTCCAACTGACATGCTCCGAACGCCGCCAAACGTCACTTGATGGTTAACACTGCTGCCGTGAACAGCTCTACGTAAAATAAGAGGTTTTAAAATGTGGCGTTACCATGGCAACGCATCCCTCGCCATAAAACACGATGTCGCTGTAACTTCAATGGACACGGTTCGATCGCCATCGAACTTTACATGTATATCATCGGTCCATGCCTCAACAGCGATACGTCAAATCTGAAGTCTCATCCGATGCCGTTTCCATGGAAACACATCCCTCGCCATAAAACACGATGTTGTCGTAACACAAAGGAAAATCGTCCAATTGGCACCAGACTTCAGATTATCATTAACACTCTGGCCCTGAACAGCTCTATGTCAATTATTGGCTGTCATCATATGCTGTTTCCATTGGAACGCATCCCTCGCCATAAAACACGATTCAACATGTCTATGTGCCACTTGTGAGTTTTCCTCAAGAGCTGTTGAACGCATCCCTCGCCGTTAAACACGATACTGCTATAACTCCTATGAAAAAGGTCATAAAGTGCTCAAACTTTACATGTGTGCCAACAGTCGAGGCCTGAAGACATCTACATGTCAGTTTTGAGATTTCGTCATATGCTGTTGCCATGGCAACACAATGCTCGCCATGAAACACGGTTTTCTCATAACTCCAGTTTACATGCTCCAAAAGCTCCAAAACTTAACATGTTAACGATGCAGCCCTCAAGACTTCTAAGCCTATTATGGGGTGTAATCATATGCCGTTGCCGTGGCGACATATAACCGCCATGAAACATGATGTTGGTGTAACTCTCATGTACATTGTGCGGACAACAGCAAACCTGTGCGGATCGTCGAAGACCTGCTCGCAGCTTTAATTAGGTTTATGTTTTATGTTATTTCAGGGGGAGTTTATTTGTCTAGCTATAGACATGAGAGTATTAGATTAATGCTACTGTTAAACCCTCTTACTGCTCTGCAGAAGGTCAGCCAGCTCCTCCTGCTTCATGCTCCTCAGGAAGTGCAGTGAGATGTTCAGAAATGCTCCTCTGCTGCTCCTCCTCTGCTCTTCATCCTCACAGTCCAACACCTCCTCATCTTCCCTCTGACTCTCTAAGCATTCTGGGTAACCTGAAGTCAGGACTTTCTTGATCTTCTTCAGCTCGTTCTTTACAAAAGTAACGATGTCGTCCTCCAGCAGCTGGAACAGAATACAATTTCAACTTTAGCTGGTAGTCAACATCAGATCGTGTACCTGCCTTACATTTGCAGTTTATTTCTTACAGCTACACTGTATAACTACGCTTCCTACCTGTAAAGGTGTAGCATTAACAGAGGCACAATTGGGAAAATATTTTCTTGTGGGTTTCTTCATCAGGCAGTTTTAAAGTGAGAGATTTAAAATGCAATGCCTGCTACTCAGCTATAGCAGCCCTGTAGATCCAAAACTGCAGCAGCTAATGTCAGGTCGGCTGAACTAGAAAAAAACCTCTCTGGAGTGCTGAGCATCTGAAGGCTTGTATTGTCATCTCAGGACAAAAAACACAATGCCCGGTAGTGAAATAATTAAATTCAGCATGTGCAAACTAAAAACGCAGAAAAAGCTTAGTATTTGATTGAATTTACCGTAGCAAAAACCAAGAGGCAGTATCATCATAAGCATCGTTATCAGTATGATGGAAATTAGCTCAAAGCTAAAATCCGGCACATTTCCATTTCAAAGCATTATTTTGTTTAAAATGTTCATTAATGTGCATTGTCCCGGTTCAAATAAACGATTAAATAGACGTGTTACCAGTGATACTTTCATTAAAAAGTGAAATATAGAAACCTATAACTTTATAATGCAGTGTTCACCGTTCATTAACAATCCGACAGGCCTCGCAACTTCCGTTGGGAAGCCAAAATGGCAATTGTTGATGGGGAGAAGTTTCTAGCGGTCCACACTCTACTCAACTTTTTACTTTTTACACTCAAAACAGTGGTTGTAACTTCAGAAGTATGCAAATTGGGAAACGGTTAGGGAGACAGTTAGGGCTGTTGTAGTCAGCAGGAGTAGCTGTACATTCACTCACCATAAATATGGCATCCAGATCAGTTTGATGCTGCTGGGCAGACTGACCACCAGGACCCTCTGATCTCTGCTGATGAACTCTGTGGAGCAAAGAGGAGGATTTGAACAAATACAGAAAATAAAAGCATGGGCTGTGTTCGAGGATCCTTCTACAAACACGACATACAGTTGACAAATTATGTACACGCCATTACATTTCTCTGTTTAAAACACCATTTAAAATAGTATTAACATTAACATTAACAATTTGTTTAAACACAGTTGAGGGTGAGATGGACTGTTCTCTCATGTGGAACACAATTGGATCATGGTGGATCCTGATAGAAACACAATCACTGATGAGTGTTCAGAAGATAAATGTTGTTGATAACTACGTTGAATTGCAAGCGATGTAACAGATTAAAACAAAGATAGCTTTTGCTTTAAATTCTTACCTTGGACCAACATCATGCTCTCCATTTTTTTTAAACTTCATTGGTGGGTGCATAGACGAGTCACTCTCTATGGACTCACAGCTGATTCCAGGAGAGTCTGGTCTCTCATGTTGACCCCTGATAGAAACACAATCACTGATGAATGTTCAGAAGATAAAACGTTGTTGATAACTACGATGAATTTCAAGCATTTTAATAGAAAAAAACTAAAATAATGTAAGCTCTTAATTTTTACCGTGAACTATCAGAATGCTTTCCATCTTCAAACTTAATTGGTGGGTGCATAGACCGTTCACTCTTCATAGACAAACAGCTTGGTACAGGGGAGTCTGGTCTCTGATGGTGGATTCTAATAAAATCACAAACATTATAAATGAAAATTTGCACTGAAACTCTGCAAAAATGTTGCTTTTAAAAAAAACATGTTAAAACTGATAACAAACTGTGAGTTACACATTACTTCTGATCAGAGTGGGATCCATCTTTGACGTCGGCAGGTTCAAACATCCTCTGGAGATTCTTAGTGGATCTGTTGTGGTGTCTAGGTCCAGGTCTGGTTTTTGTCCTCACACTGATTCATAGCAGAGTCGTACCTGCACACAAACACAACAACGTGCTCAACTGTGCTCCTTTCTGCCTGTTGCAAACTGACTCAGGTTCAACACAAGGAGAGTGTCGATGCAAGCTTATTGTTTAAACAAACACAATGTATTTAACTAAAACTTAGATTAACAATGAAGTGTGTTTATCAGCAATATCAACAATAAAATAAGTTAACTGGGACATACTACTTTGTCTTGACTTTGCACTTGACAGTTGTAGCATGCTGGTTTACATACTACAAACTGCAACCAGATGTAGTCGAATAGCCTAGTATTTTGGAGTCCTGGACAGGATCAAGTGATCCTTATATGTGACCCGCTCTATTGAAATCAGTCGTGTATAAATAAACGTGGATTTGCGTAAAAAAATAGTGTTTCGGGGTTCGGGTGTTTAGTTTGATTTTAAACAAACAAAGTCTTGTCTTTCAAAATATGAAACTTTTTTTCCAAAATCACACGATAAATACATTTTTGAAGCTTGTAAAGGGAAGATGACAGCTCTCACTCGCACTCTGCTGTTCCGCAGCGCCGCCCCCCCTCCCTCCGGCTGACATTATGAATGTAAGGCGTATAGTAATCATAGATAACACGGCAGGGTCCGTTACAGTTTGTTTTCATCTGATTTCAAATAAACAAAGTCTTGGCTTTCAGAATATTAAACTTGTTTCGGCAAATTCAGATGATAAATACAACTTTGAAGCTTGTAGACATAATTACAAGCGGAGAACGCAGTAACTTGACGTCACAGCAGGCATAACAACAGCCGGTGTTTCTCGTGAGTGTTTTCCCCGGGAAACAAACGATACACAGAAACGCAAAATTACACAAACACACACACACACGTATACACACACACACTCGCCAGTAATCCAAACGAAAATATCTATTTTGATCATTTGCTAATAATCAATCAGATCGATGGATTCCAGAGAAGAGGAAACTTTGAAGGCCTTTTTCTCAAAATGATGACTCGGTAACAGTCATTATATAATGTGACATATTTTGCTTAATATTTGGAGTACAAAAACAATCCTGATATCATTAGAAAGCTAGGAATCTCCTCTTTCCAACAGTGTATACAATTCAAAATGTGTCTACGGGTCAATGCGACTGATTTCGATGGAGCAGGTCACAAATGTGTCACACAGACCCCAGATTCACCCAGACAAACAGCTTGTTGAACACAAATGGTATGTGTTAGATTGTTAAGTTACGGTGCTGTTGATGCAGCAATGAAGACATGACATAAAGGCCCTATACACAGAGAGAATATGAAGACACCACAAGAAGGTTTTATAACATTCCTGGAACTTTTCTAAGATAAAAAAAATTGAAGAGCCTCAGTCACGTTGAACGGAGCTGATTATCTGGTTTTGACACTCCCTTCATTTTTCAGAGATGATAAGAACTCAATCAAACTGCTGCCAAAAACTGTCACCATTACAAGGAAGTCTTTTTATAATCAGTCTGCTTTAAACTTAAGGGCATTTCTCCACAATACTTAGAATAGACATACAGAATCAGCATTAGGAAACATTAGTCCTGTCATTTAAACCAGGGGTGTCAAACTAAATTTCATCGTGGGCCACATTAGAATTATGGTTGCACTCAAAGGGCCGGTGGTAACTTTAAGACTATATAAATATCCATAGATAAATATACATAATATATATATATAAAATAATGTATTATTTTATAATATTTCCTCTGCATTGGATTATTATCGGATAACTTCATAATTAACTACAACTGAAAGCATAAGTCTAGTAAGTAATTGCAAGTCTCTTCAGTGCGCATCTCACAAAATGAGATGCATTGTGGGACATGTAGTTTATGGTGCTCCTGTAAAGTGGCACGTGACCTTATAATAAACGTATTATATTTAAATTAAATCAGGGGTGTCAAACTCAAGGCCCGGGGGCCAAAACCCGGCCCGCCACTTCATTTGATGTGGCCGACAAGAGCTTGCAAAGAATATAATACGTTTATTATGAGGTCACGTGCCGCTTTACAGCATCCAACACACACGAACGCGCACATGACCAATGAGGGCACGAGATAAGTTTGTGCCGAGATGGAAGGCTGACAGGCAGGTAGGCCATCCAGTTATTTTAGCCGGACCGGCTAAAATGATTGGTCGTGCTTTTTACAGTACCACGGCTTCCACAGATGATATTTTTTAATGGATTTTTTGTCAAAGCATTTAAGATATTCATTGCTATCGGGATGTTAAGAGCATTCCATGGAATATAACAAAAAGTGTATCTCGAGCCGGTTTCTCAAACTTACCTACCCCACCTTTAAAAGGAGAGACTTGGTAATTTAAATCGAACATTTTGAGTAATTTTGTTCTGTATTCAATCTACGTAAGGAGATTCCTTATTTTGAGACTAATTGAGGAATGCTATTTCGTAACAGATGTATTTGAACCCTGAACACTTAATGCCTGCACGTTACATTAGGTGTTGTAAAATAATAGTCCCTCAGTCACATTGATCAGTTTTTAAGACCTGTTCTGACACTTCCTTCATTTTTCACAGATGACAGGAAATGAAGATTACAATCTAAGTGCTGCACATTCTACTGTTCTGACAACACTAGCTGACGACCTGGATCACCTGGAATCAAACAAAGAGCCAGGACAAGACAATTATTTAATGTTATTTTTTAATATGCAAATTAGGCTTTATGATATTCTAACTTTTGGTGACTTTAGGAACAAAGAAAAACAAAACAAAAAAGAAAACAAACAAAGATAGAAAAGTATAAATTTAAAAAAAAAAGTAAATGTCGACTTTGGATGTTTTCTTTCCACTTGTCTGAAATAAGAGATCACAATTCGACCAATGCATGACAAATATGTTGTTTCCTGTAGTCAGTCATTTAGAACCATCTAGTGGACAGCTATTGGAACTGCATCACCACTCTGTTTTGTTTTGATATTCCCAAGTAATTGGTTGAGTACATGTACCCCAGTGATGTTAATTATGCCTGTGATGAGAGGTCAAATTAAAGATCCAAATTTCAATCCCTCCAGAGAGAAAAGGGATGCACCGTTGGCCTCTTTCGACGACAGAGATTACATGCATGCATAGGCGTTCCTAGGGGAGTGCCAGAGGAGTTTAAAGCTAGACATCAGATATTGGCGGGGCTCTTATCACTCTTCTTTTGGGTAACTATTAATACAAATGTTGATATGATCAATTATATTTATTATAATCAGCAACGTTTCGTTAATTACACTCATGATGCTATTAAAGGATTAGCTGAACTGTTCGATGCTCCCTCCCACAGAACAGAATGGCACCAGACATGCTCCTGGCTGAGGAAGGAGGTGTTTGTGATCTGTTCGGTGATGCTTGCTGTACATTTATCCCTCACAACACTGTTAGATGGATCCGTCACTAAAGCTTCAGCAGGGCTTCGGTCACTCAGAGAAGAGTTAGCACTCTGGCTAGAAACTTCACCTACAGGCTGGATTGATGGCATGCTAAATGGAAAGCGGTGACTTTAGCTATTATCACCTCTCTAATCACTGTCATAGGACTTTTGGCTCTGTGTGGCTGTTGCATTATTCCCTGTGTTAGAGGACTTGTTATGAAAGCTTTTAACAAATCAGTATCAAACACTTTGTTAGCCTATCAACCTCTGAAGACTGAACCTGACATGTTGAAGTCTACTCCTCATCCTCTGACTCCAGTTCTGATTTGGTGATGAAACAAATGCGTAAATATCTTTTGTTTTATTTCCTTCAGATTAGCTTGCTCACATATCCCAGTGACTGCAATATGGCACATGTTTTCATCATACACTGTGTAAATTGAATCCTTGTGAATTTTGAATGCCAATGATAACATGTATAATACTTCTATATTTGTGATCAATATGTAATATGATCAGAAGAGTGGAGTGTAATGGAACATGTTATCATGCTGAGTGAGCATTTCAAGTTCACCATCTGTTCTTCTTTTACAAGCTATTTCTCCCAACAGGTAGCAGTAACATGTCCTAACCTAAATGAGTCGTAAATGGTGTTAGAGCTATTTATTGTTGCTAATGTTTTTGCTAGCTGGTGTGTTTAAAAGAATCCTATATGTTTCTAATCAGACAGATACACACATGATCAACACGGCTGCTTCATCACAGCTCAATGTCACTGCTGACTGTGTTTCATTAGATTGTCAGTTAGCCCCATCTAGTGGACAGCTAGTAGAACTACATCACCTCTCACTGGTTTCTTGCTCTTGTTGGACAGGTATCACGTGACTCTGATGTGTTGTTACACTCTGAAGTTATGAGGGTGTGTCTGCGTCCTCAGATCAGATGCAGACAGACACAGGACTGAAGAGGATGACATGAGCAGAGTTTCCTCCACACATGCAGGCGTCTACATTAACCTGAAGGAAATTCAACAGGTGAGAATATGATTTTCAAAATGTGGGATTATACATTTGGGGATAAAAACAACCGAGTAGTTACCTAAGCTAACCACAGAGTTGTGTTGACTAACACTCAGTTCATTGATGAGAATCCTATCAGAGAAATCTGTAAATGTTTGATCATCAGGATCACTTTGATCACATTGTTCTGTATCACTGTTTAGCTGGACAGGACTGATGTTTCTTGATGCTGATTCTATATATCTATTAAGTATTGTGGAGAATTTCGCTCGGAGTTAAAGAATGATTTTAAAAATACTTCCTTGTAATGGTGCCAGTTTTTGGCAGCAGTTTGATTGTAATCTGAGATCATCAGTGCTGTGAGGGAGTGTCAGACCCGGATCAACGTGACTGAGGTGCTTTATTCATTTGTAATCTTTGAAGAGTAAACACACCAGGAATGATGTAAAACCTCTTTGTGGTCTCTCCACATTCACTGCGTGTTTAGGGTCTTCATGTCTTTACTGATACTGCAGTCAGAGACGCTCCAGTGGAGTCTCATGTTAGCTGGACTTTGTATCTGAAACTGTTTGATGGAGCATTGAGTTTTCT